GAGGAAGGAGCTCACCAGGGTGAGCATGCCAGTCTGACAGCTGCAGCCAGGTCCAGAAACGAGGGATGATGCTGCCAGCTCCCGGCACGCCTGGTACCCTGCCCCGCTCCTGCCCCCGCCACTGCTCTCACAGCTGTTAATATACTCACAGTGTGTCTTCAGGTTATTTATCTGTTATCTTATAGACAACAGATTGATCCAGTATCTTATTATCTCATTATCTACTTATTTATCTTCAGGTTGCCAGGTGCCTTCTGGATACCCCTTTAGCATGTCTCCAAGCTCGCCCTGCAACCTTCCAGAGGAAGAAATCAATTTTTTAAGTTACAAAGTGAAAGGAAAGCCTTGTGGTTTGGTTGTTGGGTTGGGTTTTTTTGTTTTTTTTTTTTTTCCTGAAGCAAGGGATTTGGGGAGGATAGGAAAAAATCCTGATAATCGTGGCAAAAGGGAGAGCTGGCAATCCTGTGAACCCCAACTAGTATCCGTAGTGTTAACACCGTCCGCACCCAGGCGCTGGCAAGGAATAAATGGCAGATCAAATTCCAGTCTCGGTTGCAGTGGTAAAAAAACCCAGAGGCATTGCTTAGGATTTACAGCAGTGTAAGCATTTGGATCCTGTCAAACCATAAATCAGTGCTCGATTGCTTCCCACCAGTGGCCCAGCCCTGTCCCCGTCCTGCCTGTGGGCATTCGTCCCCTACGTGGTCCCTGTGCTGCTCAGCCTCCTCCTGCCACAGCATCCTTTAAACCCAAACCGTTTCCATGGTGACAAGGAAAACAGGTTTAATTGCAGTTCACCTTGGGTAGGGAAAAAAATATTTAGAACTAATCAAAGCTATAGTTTTCAGGGCAGGCTGCCTGTCTCCCTGCCTGCAGCCCGTGGTGGTGGGATGGCTTGGGAAAACCTGCCCCATTCCTGATGCTATCCTACATCAGCTCAATAATCACAGTTTTTAATATTTTTTTTTTTAGTAATTAAAGCTTGTCTTTTAAGGCGTTTTAAAGGATCCATCTCAAAGCATAGGTGAGCCCCCGAGAGCTGCCATTCCCAGAGGAGCCCTCGCTGGGCTGCACCCAATTTTTGGCACTGGGAAAGATCCCAGAGAAGCCCAAGCCCAGTTGGGTAAAAGGAGCGTGACTTGAGGATGCTTCTCCTCAAAGCCGCTGAGCTTTCCTCAGGACCAGGGGAAGCAGGACCAGCCTGAGCTCTCTGACCAGGATTTTCCTGCAGCTACAACTGGATGGTCCTTGTGAGAGGCAAGGAGAGATTTTAAATACCTTCCCATGGAGGCAGAGGTGCCTGATGGAAGGCCTTTTGTTGCATCCTCTAATTCCAAATATCTTAACTAACTCTAATGCCAGCCATGTTTTGCAGCCTGGCTTTCTTTCGGCTGTTATGAATAGCACACAGCGCATAGCTTTGGGCTGCACTGGCTATTCATAGCCCCTTGCAAACAGAGTTACAACACCCGCTCCTTCCATTACCTCTTGCTCCCAGGCAGGTTGGGAAGCTGGGGACAACTGTCCTTAGATGTTGCATCCTTAGATTCTCTGGCTGCTCTGCAAAGCCACGGGGATGTGCCAGGATTCCGGTTCGTGGCCTGGTGGCTTCTCTACCTCCTTATTTACCCCAACCAAACTGACCCATCATGGAACTTGGAAGCCCAGCCAGGGATCTGGCCTGTGGTTAATCACCCCACTTTCAGTAATGGCTGTAAGGCCCCGCTCAGCTGTTTTTAGAGGGCAGCCAGCCCCTGGTCTGCGGGGTGAGGGAGGAGAGGACGCAGGGCCTGGGTATTTCTTTGCACATCCCCGCCTCGGGTCTGATTTGGGATTGGTGGCATTCAGGTCTCTTAGGTCCTCCCCCCCCCAAAAAAAAATCATCTGAGTGTTTTGCCAGGCATTGCAATCCCCAGACGCCCCTGGTGCTGCCGACTTGGGTTTCTGTCCTCACCATCACCTCCAGGGTGGTCCCAGCTGCACCCTGGAGGCTCCCTAAACACCCAGCCCCACTCTTCCCCCTGCCACCTGCCCTGGCCTGAGCCCCCTCCCATTCAGGGCTGTGGCGGCAGAGCCGGTGGCACGCCATGCCGCTCTATTTCTGCAGCTGCTTCGGTCACCAGCGTCGTGTTTCGCTTTGGCTGCAGCAGCAGCGGGGTTCCTCCCCGGGCTATAGCCAGCAACAGCACCCCAACCCCGGCAGCGTCCCCAGCACACGGTCTTCCATAGTGTGGGATGTGAGGCTGAGATTTGGCAATGCCTTTCTCCTGCTTGCAGAGATACCACCTCTGGAGGCTTTTTTCTGGAAGGTCTGTGCCCTCGTTCAGCTGGTGGAGAAAGTGTTTTGGCAGATGGAGGCTTGCAAATGAGCAGTAGGGTCATCTGAAAGCCAAAAGCTTGACTCTACCTTCTCTCCAAAGAGTTTTTAACTCTGCGACTGAGGATTACCTCTTTCCGGACAGCAGAAACAGCGTGATCATCCTTGTAGCTCCCGGAGCTCAGCTCAGCTTTGCCCAGGTGAGCGTGGCAGGGGGAACCTCGCTCTTCTGGACTGGGCTGTGGGGTGGCAAGGGGAAGGCAGAGCAGCCATGCTGGGCAGGAAAACAAGCCCCCCAGAGATGTTTCACCATCAGCATGGGCTGAATTCCCTGGTGGGACGACACTGGCATGGTGGTAATGTAATAACACGGCTCTGCTTGTGGGGAGAGAGAGAACCAGATGCCGCTTTGGAGATGCAATGGGATGAATGTTCACCACGGCTGTGGCAGGGAAGAGCACACTCAGCCCCGGGCGTCAACACTGCTGCTCTCCGGTGGGACTGTGATCCCTTCTGACAAGGCATCACAAGCAGCAGCCTGCGTCTGACTGGTCTGGTTTATGAGTATCCCAGCAAATGGATCCCTTTGCTATTCCTCTACGGTACCTGGTGGTGCACATGCAATGAGAAGGTCCTCAATGCCACGTGTCTCGGTGCTGTGCATGCAAGGACAGAAGGACGGAGTCTCACAGGACTGTTCTCCAAACACCACAAGACACAGCAGCTCAGGACCCCTGCAGCTGGCGGGGATGGACTTGGCCAGTGGTTGTCAGCTTGTGTCCATGGGTGGCCAAGGTCTATGAGATAAAGTGGAAGAAACCAAAGCACTTGGCTACAGTTGAGAGTTCGGCTTTGCTTTTAGTTGGCTGTCCCTAAAACTATCATGGTCAGGTAGTGCTTTGTGTAAGCAAAAGACAGAAAATCATCTCCTGAAGATAATCCAGGCTTGCTTTCCCTTGGCCGAGAGCTCAGCAGCCCTTGTTGTCACTCGTACTGACAACTGCTGAAAAATGTTTTCTTTTCCCTCCAGGCCCCTCCTGCTCGCTCCCCACTGGACTTTGGGGGTGTGCAGGGCCGACAGGGTGGCTTCAGTGAAGACAGGGGACATGAAAACAAAAGGGACAGAGACTTAGGGTATCTTGAACCACAGCTGCAGACCCCCCATCAGGATGGCAGGACCTCCTTCCACACCTGGACAGAAGGTCATAGCCCCACGGCCACCTCCTCGGCTGTAGCCGCTCGGCTCCTCTCCTCGGGTCCATCCTCGCCCCAGCCAGTGCGCACGGAGCCATCTGAGCTCTGAAATATGGATCCTGCCTAAGTGCAAAGTGTAATTGCAATTTATCCTTTCATTTGCTGACACCATTTTGGTTACTTGCACATCTTCACATGTAGTGACAGCACGGAAGCGCGGTCTGAGCTGGGGAAGGGCTAAGCCAGCTGCTGTATGGCCCTTCAGTTTTAAAAATAGCTTTTATTCGCTTCTCTGTTAACTCTTTCCTCTGGTTCCTGAATATGCTTCAGCTCCTGAGATGTCCCAGGGCTGCTGCTGAACGGGAAATGGCAATTTTGCACATTGGGATGCTGAGCAGAAGCTGCTCTTAGTAGCTCGAGGCACCCCATTAATTAAATCACCAGACTCCGCAGGGGCTCCCTCCAGCACTGCCGTGTGCTGATGGGCACGGCAAGGCAACTGCCGCCTGCCTGAAAACCCAGCTGATGACATGCAGAGAGGCTGTGGCGAGTAGCTGGGAAGGTGCTTATAAAATATTTCTTCCCTCAGGCAGGTTTTTAATTGGCTAGCTGGGTTTTGGTTTGCTCTGCTCCTCTAGGATTAGTCGTGAGTAATTGGGCTGGGGAAAAAAAATTATATGTATGTATTTTTTTTATGCATAGCTGATTTTAAAGCAGGTAGGGTTTGAAACCCATGGTAATACCTGTCCTTCCGGAGGATGGCTGGTTGGAGCAGCACAGGGGCAGTCCTCTTCCTGCAGTGCCTCTTGCTCAGGGCTGCTCCTTGTTTTCCAAATATTTGGAAAAAAACCCCAAACCAACCCTCAAAAAGTGGACTTGCTGGCCATTGAGAAGTGGGATGGGTCATGGTGCTGCGGACCTGCAAAGCAGGGTACTGCAGAGGGATGAGCTTCAAAAGCATGCTGTTGGTTCATAAGCCCGCCCCCCCCCCCCCCCCCCAATCATTTTTAGGCAATTAAAAGGAGAATTTTAAGTAGATTCGCTGTACTTATTTCTGTCCTCTTTTGGCTGAACCCATGCAAGCTAAAGGAGGGTGCCCCGAAGGCCAGCAGCCAGGCAAGCTGCTCTGTGGGCTGGGATGGATTTCCTGAAGGTCTTTGCCTAAAGGTGCCAGAGGGTTATGTGGGTCTGACCAGTAGTTTCTAATAGCACTGGTCCAGCTGTGAAATCCTGCAAAAATTAACACAAACCAAACCAAACCAAACTTGCTTCTAGTTATTTATGTAAATATTATTTCTGTTTTCATTTACTTCTGTAAATGAAAACTCCTTGTGCTCAATAAAAATCTCAAATAAAATCTCAAATAACAAATACGCACATCTATAATAGAAAGTATATAACATTTTATATTACACAGGGGGGGAGGTGGCAGGCTCGTGTCTGGGTGCTGGTCCCTGGTGCCACCCCAGTGCCCTTGTCTGTCTTGCAGCACCTACGGGGAGCTGACGAACTGCACGGCACTGATCGCCGAGAGGCTCGACTGCTACTGGCCCAACCGGCTGGTGGACGAGTTCTTCGTGGCCGTCCATAAGCAGTACTTCAGGAACTGCTCCCCGTCTGGCCGGGCACTGCATGATCCCCCCAATGGCATCCTCTGCCCCTTCATCCTGCTGCCCGTCCTTGTCACCCTGCTGATGACTGCGCTGGTGGTGTGGAGGAGCAAACGCAGCGAGGGCATTGTGTAGGGATGCCCTGCTGCCAACGCAGGGGAGGGATGGGGGCACCGCCCCCCCAGAACGTGCCCGTTTTTTGGAAGGACCCTGGCAGAGAAGCATCATAGTGGGTACCAAGCCCTGGAGACAGAGACAGCAACACCACCGCTTCTCCCTCACCGGTACCCTCCACACCACGCACATGCCATAAGCCCGGCGGTTTCCAAATAAATACATCATTTAAGACATGGTTGCTTGGCGATACAGGATGCCGGTGGCCAGCAAGGCATGGGCTGCCCCAGCAACAGGTAGCCCTCTTGGGGTACTGGGGAGCACGGTTCTCCCTGGGCATCAGCGCCGCCACAGCTCTGCTCAGCCTTTCCCAGAGGCTTCCCTCCCAGCACCCCCCCAGCATCATGTGCCAAAAGAGGAACATTTTTAAAGGAAAGAAAAAAAAAAAGGGGGGGCATGTGTGTGTGTGAAATCCGCAGTGCCAGCACAGTGTAACGGTGAGGCCAGTGGGTCTGGGTGCAACCCTGGGCAATGAAACCACCACAGCTTCCTCTTCTTGTCCTTTTTCTTCCACACCAGGAAAGGCATCTTCTCCCCCAGCCCCCAGCACAAGGACCAGGCCTGCACGGGTGGGGTTCGCTTAGGAGATGGGGAGCAATGGGTGAAAGGCAGCAGTGGGAAGCTGGTGGCACTGGTGGCAGCACCGGTGGTGGCCTTGGCAGTGCCCTGGGGCTAACGAGCAATGGGAATAAGGTGCTTTTCCTACCTAAATAAATACATACATAAATAAACCAGGTACCTGTCTCTGGTGCGAATCCTCAGCAATCACCCCCTCCATGAAGGCTGAGGTCCGAGTGGCTTGAGGGCCCCCCCTGGATGCCCCCCTCACTGCCCCAAAGGAGCCTCTGTGATCCCAGAGACACACCCCAATAGTGTTGACCCCTACCCCATGGGTACCCTTTGGGGTGGCACTGGGGGTCCTGGGGTGGTAGGAGGACTGACTGCATGGGGTCTGCCCCTCAAAGGCAGCGGGGTCCCCCAGGTGTGGGTAGGCAGGTCAGGGTTCCACCCCTCTCAGCAGGGTCCAGGAGTAGGGTCAGCTCCCTTGGTGGGAGACTGCGCAGCATCTGGGACAGGGGGCATCCCAACCCTGCCACTGGTCTCCGCCATCCCCAACAGCTCCAGGCCACTCCAGACCCCCTTCAGTGCCTTGCTGGGTCAGGAAGGGGCCCCTGGGGAGACCCAGCTGCTGTTCCCCCTGGCCCTCATGTTTCCCAAAAAAACCCAAAAATTGCACATGTCAGGCAGTGGGACACCCAGCCATCCACCTGGCCCACCCTGGGCTGCTTGGTCCCGACTCCTGTTCCTCTTCCAGGACACTGCAGCATTTGTTTTCTTTGCCATTTGATATCTGGGGCTTTTTTCAGGGGCAGTTGAAAAAAAAAAAAAAAAAAAAAAAAAGGAAAAAAACCCCACCACCATTATTTGATGGGGAGTGCCCAGGGCTCCAGAGACTGTGGTCCCTGCAGACAGGAAGAGCTGAAGAAGCTTTCTTGAAGATGGCTACCTACCTAGAATAAAAATAAATTAAAAGAACAACTAATCAAACAACAAAAACCCCCCACAACAACACACAAGAAAAAAGGAGCAGGTTGTTGCAAAAGCTGCACAGAAGTTACAAAAGCCAATTCCTGCACAAGCACTATTTGCTGATGAGCCTCCACCCGCTAACCAGCCACAAGGGAAGGTGACACTTTGGGGACATACAGGACAGTTTGCCTTCTGCCATTGCAAGGGGCCCATGAGGGTGCAGGATGGAGACAAACTTCCCTTGAGATTGCTGTAGGAGTATTTTGGCCATGTGCAGTGAACCATGCCCACGGTAGCAGCCCAGCTTAGTCCTTCAGTGAGAGGTGCATCTGTACAAATATACATATATATATATAGAAATACATATAAAAATACACATAAAAATAAATACATAAATAAGAAAAAAACCCCAGCTCCTCATGTTCAGGAAAAAATAATTCAGACCTGATAGGCTCTTCTAAGATGAGCATAACATTTTTTTCTCCCATGTATTCTGGATGAGAAGAAACTGATGCTCAGGCCTTCTTGTACAGTACTTAATAGTAACCAAACTGTAATATTGTGCTCCTCTAGGTAAGCAAAAACAAAGTGAGGGGATCATACAGCGGGACTGTACTGGGAGGTAGGGACTGGTTTTGATGACTGCAGCTCTAGCTCTGCGCTCACACAGGCTGCTGGTACCCCAAACCTGCTGCATGCCAATGCAGCCTTTCCTGGCTCTCCGTAGCAGCACCCTGCCTTTGCTCCGCCCTAGGTGTACCTGCAGTGGCTGCCAGGTAAGAGTGGGGAGCCAGGCATGGGTGACAATGCAAGACACGGGGACTTTTACCCCTTTTGCTGAAGGATGGAAGCGGATAATGGTACCAGGGTGCCACTACAGCAAGCAGGACTCATCTTCATTACAGCAAACTGGTTCAGCATTTTCAGCTCAAAATTAAGAGAATCCTTCTGACTCAGTAAGCAAAAACTGGATGTATTTTCCAACCTTTCTATTTTTGTGACTCTCTTATTCCTTACTTTGTCTGACATTACTATTTTGGCAGCAAAGATCTCTCACCTCAGTTGCCTACTTAAAATAATATGCTGATCCATGTTTCATTTTAAATAGACACAGTGGCAATATTATCAAAAGATGAAGCTCACGATATGAGTCTCCTCCTGCATGCCAATCCCTGTGTTTAATTTCCCTGCTTTCCTAGACCTCCAGTAATGTCTACAGGAGCCTGTGAAACTGTAATGGAAAAGGCACAGGGAAAACTTAACAAGCAAGGCTGCACCATGCTTAAAATTTGCAAGCCAGCTCTGCCACGCTAATGATGGAGACAATTCTGATTTCCTCCAGCGTCTGCAGAGGAAGAATAGGAAAGAATGAAGCATAATCATTCGGGGGGATAGAAAACCAACAGTCAACGCCCGAGCGTTATACAGACACTTGGCTCCATATGAAACCACATGAACATTTATTTCTATGGTTTATCTATTTATAAAAGCTTGAATCAGTTCCATGGCACCTCCTCTGCATTACCCCACAAGCCAAATGCAAACATTTCGGTCTCTGAGGCTACACCAATGCCCTGGCTCAGCAGGTGAGCAGTGGGGAGCTCTGGCACACAACAGGCAGCAGCCTTCTCACAGCATTTACTCTGAAGTGATTCCTGAGGTACATGCTACTGTCTTCTGAAGGATCTCTGCTTGCACATACTATGTATTTGATATACAGCTACTTACAGAAAAGGCAATTATAGCATCATATCCTTTCAAATTACCAAAAAAGCCAGGCGCACACGAGTTTTTAAAAGAGGGTGCAGTGTGTTATCATTCTCACCTGCGTTATTAGTCATTCACTTTCAGTGCAGAACTTTGATGAACACAATTAGGTGTTCTCCAGGTAACAGTGCTTGAATTTACTTTCATCAGATTGAACAGCATCTGATGATCCCTCACCACATCCAGATCGGAAAGCCAAAGGCAAATTTCTTTAAAAAAATCTCCCTTTCATTAAATTTCACAGAAATATATAATATATATAATATATATATATAATTTTACTAATACCACACATTTACTTAAGTTACAGATTAGCCTGTGTTTCTTTTAACTACTTCACACAACAAATAGAAACAAAAAAATACTGTAGCCCAAACAGGAGCTGAAAATAACAACGTAAAAATTCCAAACATGTGACAAAAACATACTTACATTAAATATAATCAAGAATTTCAATACCAGAAGTAGAATTTCATTTAGCATTTGCATTCTGGCAAGCTTTAAGCCTTAGCTGAATGACTCTTGGAAAAAGCTTGTATTGTTTCTGCTCATCAAAGGCAACAGTATTGTGATTGGGTTCACAGGAGACCATTTTATTGCCAACTTGAACTGCTCCAAGAACACGCCACCTTTTCTGTTTGGGTTGTTTGTTTTTTTCCTTCCCCCCTCCAAACTAGGCAAGAGTTAAAAAAAAGTGTAATTACAATTTCATTAGTGATTTCTTTTAACTTCTCAAGCATATCTCATCAACAGGATATACAGTACAGTTCAGAAGAGTAAACATTTTTAAAAGTAAGCAAATAACTTTTTCAACCAACATACACAATTTCTTGCTGTATTTATGCTGAACTCTCCTTTTAACATGGACAAGTTATGAAGTTAGTTTTCTTCTTCAGTACAACATGGACACAGGACTAGTACAATCCGGGCTGGTTTTGTTGTTGTTGTTGAAGTTAAGGACAACTCTAGTGTGGAAGCCATGGTCCTGCCATCCATCTCCCTTCATCATCTCGCATAGCGCTTAATGTAATCCTCAACTTTATTCCGAAAGTCCTCCTAGGGGAAAGCACAGTCAGAATTACCCTAGGCATGTCAGAGAGGGACTCATGTAGGACTACAGTGGTGGTGGATTCCCACATTAGCACTGGTAGGGTCAAAGTGCCATCAAGTGAAAGGCCCGCCGCTCTCCCCAAGACCCAGAACATGTTTCCAATGCAGTGTATGAGAACTGAGGTGACCACTTGAGTCCTTGCAGGCAGATGTCCGTGCTCCACCGGGGATCTCCTCTGGGGACTGAACTGAACAGTTTGCCATTGGCAGCTATCAACGTAGATATCAACAAACAGACTGCATCTGACAGGTCACCAGTGCCGAGAGGCCGGGTCCCAGCTAGCAGCACAGCAAAGATCTGGCCATGGTTTTAGAGAAGGAAGGGAAGCTGTCCTTACTGGATAAAAGAGGCAAGGCTACAGCAGTAACTGTTACAAAAGCTGTGTGCCCTAAGGCAGCTCTGTCCCAAATACTCATTCTGGCCTCCCCCTGGTAACTGCACGATATTGCAGATAGGACATAACTAAGCACATAATCAGTCACTGCCCTTTTTTTTTTGTCATTTATTATCACCTAGAGGATTAAAAATTCATCACCCAAGTCACTCGTTTGTT